AACCTCAGCGACAAAGCACCATCATCATCATCATCGAAAACAAATGGCAGTTTCCGAGTCTTCTTCCTCGCAACAGTGGCTTCCAAGAGTAAGTAAGTTCGTTATGGATCTGATTGGTCTAGCGGTGGACAGCTTTAGCTTGTCAGATGATCATCCATGCATCAATGATTAGTTTGTCACTAAAACAAGAATGGGTTTGCGAAATCCCTATCCCGAAAGGCCGGAGGACGTGATAGATATTAGAATATTCTGCATTTACGTTGATTAGATATGACTCGATTAGAGTCTTGTACAGCAAGGGTCAAACCCTTCAACCACGCTCATCCGACACTATATATTCAGTGATTGTGTTATATGTATGACTCAACTCCTCCTTAAAATGAATCAATGCTGGTGTCTTTCCGTGAATGCTGTGGAAATTAGGAGGTGTTTTCATGACTAATCAATATGCTTTGTGTTAGATATTCCAGTCACTTGTAACTGAGCTGGACTCCAAGGATTGGGTTTTGGTCTGTGATGCTCTTGTCTTAATACTGTTCGTCCTCTTATGACATTCAACAAGGAAGAAATGCTGCCTTTGCTCATGTAAGTCATATTCTCTCGACTATGATATTATTATCACTTAAAAGTAGATGTAGTTACACTTTGAAAAAAATTTCTAGTGCTCACAATGTCAGGGAGAAGTCATCCTGGAGTCACAGAAGAATCCAACAAGTGCTCTATGTAAAACTGCAGGTATGACTCTTGTACATATTCAGCTCGTACAAGGACCATATAATTGATCAACTGGATCGTCCCCTGGTGCATATCTAGTCTTGGAATTTTCCTCAAATCGCGAACACTTTATTGTTCAAATGACAGTAATTTCTTTCAGCGGACTCAACCCCCTCCTTAAATCATCCCAAGACAAGCGATTTGTTTGCTGAAAAAGCACTAGTATCAACCTAGTCTCAAGACAAGATATGTCATCCAGAGACAACCCACTTGGCAAATCTTCTGCAAATCAAACCTCTCACCACTTAGTGCTCTGGTCATGCTTCTTGTCACCAGTGTGTAGCTAGTGCCGCTCGAGAGAGTCTTGTTTGTTACGCGTTCCTGACACAAGACCCCGGTTTGATAAACATCTGTGAGTAATCTACGCCCCCACTGTTTCTTTATCTTTGGTTGAAGGGCTTGTTTCTTTATTGTGTGTGTATATAGCGAGATGGTGAGACTGTCTCAATCTTTGATTTTAAGAAACTTATATTTGATTCTCGCATCAACTAAGCTTAGTTTTCCATTCTACCAAAACCAATTCTCATCTTAGTCAAAAGTTCCTACTTTAGTCCACTTTCTTTTAACGAAAAACTAATCAAAAACCAAAACAAAGATGTCGAATTCTCAAACGTTTGGTATAGAATGTTGCTTACTGCACTAAATCGGAGGAATTGGAAGAGAACCATCGATCCACATTTCCCCGTCTGGTAGAATCACTTTAATTTTCCTTATAGAGATGATATCGACGTGAATTTGTGTATGCGTAGCGAATTATTACGGTTTTGGAACTAGAAGAAGCAGGAGCTACGGAAAGCGATTCAAGTTTTCTAGAAAGAGTCAAAAGCGATTGTTTAATTAATATTTTATACCATCTACTTAGCCACATGGAACAAGAAAGAAATTAGTCACTTGAAATAGACTGGATCTGGAAAATGATTAAGTGGGCCATTTCCTCCCCTCATGAGATGCCAATGCCACTTGAAGTACGCATACCTTCCCAGTGATGGTTCTGCATCATGGTAAGAGGCGAGCAACACAGTGTAACCGGCGGTAGCAAGCTCTTGGATAAGAAAAGCGAAATCTGGGTCAGAGCTTATCAGGCAAATGTTGCGAGGAGGGTCATTGCTCTGGATAAAGAGGTGAATGTCTTCAGCCACTGCCATAAGAGATGTAGGATCTGGTTCTTTTGTCTTTCGTGGTTTAGCTTTAAAAAAAAAAAAAAACAAATAAAAAAGTTATAAATACAAAACCCAAAATAGTGTCGATCCTAAAAATAATCACCAAGGCAATTACCTCCATCACATATCTCATCTGTGCAGAACGGGTATCTTTTAGGAATGTGTTTGGCCATGACTGTACATGGCCAACCACTAAAAAGGCCTTCCACATCTCCAAGATGAGCGAAATCTCCATAGACCGACAGGCTTAAAATGTGATATTTTTTATCAACTATCTTTAGAGCGTCATCGATCTTTTGGTATATGCCAGTAAATTCTTCTTTACTGGCAAGCTCAGCCTTGTCATAATGCCAGAAGATCGGGATACCAAAATTTGTATCATTTGGATCGCTGTATGTCGTACGGTAGAATGGAAGCCTGGGATTCATGGGTTCAATTCTCACCTTAAGGAAACATAAAAACAAAAATAAAGTTAGCATAAAATACCGAATATATCATAGGAATTTGTGTTTTCTTTAAAGAAAAAGAAAGAAAAAAAGATTTCTCGCTTTTATACAAAATAAAAGCTAAGAATTGTAGTATTTAGTATAGGTTTTGGATTTATCTTTTCTCTTAGCACGCAAGTATTATTATTAAAAAAATAAAAAAAGAGAGATCCTCCAAATTCATCATCATTAGGTACATTCTTATCCCTACTGCTAATTTATATCAATAAAATTTAACATATTAATTTAGAAAAACCATTAAATAAAGACATTATAAAAATCATTCAAGATAAAATTGATCACTGTTATAATAAAAAAATAAATAAAAGAATACTGAGCAAGAAATGCAGATCAGATCTTACCGACACTTGGAAAAGGGAGTGGCACGAAAGGATTTGGCCACGTTAGAAAGTGCTTTTATAGCAGCGGAAGAGAAACTTACTAGGGTTAATATTCTTGAAAGACTGTGAACCGTTGGATCGTAGTTTATCTACGGTTGTTATCATCGATCTTCGTCATTATTTATATAGCGATCTGAACCGTTAAAAGCTTCTGCATATAGACTACTATCTTTTCAGACGTTCGATCTAACAAAAGAAAAATCGCTTTGAATGTGTTATTTAGGCCCAAATACAGTAATGGGCCTTATGAAATCTACGTCTTTTGTTTATTCTCGCCTTCACCTCACCGAAAATCAGGCGTATTTGATCGTCGCTCGATCTGTTACCATAAGTCCATAATTGATGACATTTGATTTATTTAATACTAGTGTTCCCCCGTGCGTACGCACGGAACAATTTTATTTTCAATATTTTTTTTCCATCAAACTAAACTACTGTGTTAATCATAACTTTTTTAAGTACATGAAATTGGAAGTGAGAATAGGGATAAAACAAAACGGTTTATAATAGTAAACCATTTTTATTATTTAGATAATGAAAAATAAGGATACATATACATTAACAAAATTCAAATATATTTTATAGTATATGAACAAATAACAATATATATATATATATATGAAATGAAATCACTATAATTAGAGTAATTGTATATGAAAAAGAAAAAGAAGTATCATATTGAACCATTCAATTTGATCAAAGGATTGAAGGTCGGTCTTTTTTTAATACATTTGATTGCTGAACCAAAGCATTTCCATTATGCATCTATGTTTTTAATCTTTGTCAGCTGTTTCTGTACTGAACTCCTTCTTGACGACAAACTTGTTAACAAAAAGTTTAAGTTTGTTTTGCTTCTTGGTCTTGGTGGTTCTGAGTACCACACCTTGCTCCTTGTCAGCTGGCTGAATGGTCACCGTCTTTTTATTTGCCAAACCTTAAAAGACAGAAGATCCAAACTTTAGTCACAATGGCAAAATGCTAATACAAATCATCTTTATGTATACACTTCTTAAACTCTTGATTCATCATCGTATTTCCCTCTGCATTAAATTCAGTATCAAGGAAGAAGAGTCTATTTTGAAAATGTGATTGACTTACGTTATTTATTTAAAAATTCATTTCTCACCAAACGTAGCTTTTGCTGATATAGGGAAGAACAAAGCCGCAAGACTGCAAAATAATAAGAAAAACCGTTTATATACCAAACTTAAAAGTTGTAAATCCAACAACTTTGATGAATTGTTAAAAAGAGTTTATCTCTAACAACACTCATGCTAACCATTTCACCAAATATGTGTGTACGAACATAAGAGGAAATAAAGTATGCTGATCAAAATCGATTGCTGTAATGATTAAAAACACGTATAGCTTAAAAGAAGTAACATGTCAATGAAAAATCACTAACATTAGCTTGACTTTCAATCTCCGTAAATGGGAAGAAACTGAAGCTTTATGGATATGATCACACGGTTTCATATAGGTATTTAATAAGAACCTGATTTTGTGAGGGTTTGTGGTTCCCCTGAAACCGCCATTGTTATCCACTACTTCAAAATTCATCCTTCCTTCAATTCCTTTCACAGAAGATTGAATCCTATCTCCCTGTCACATAAACCATTTAATCAAAGCTTAGATTTGTAAAATAAAAACATACTATACAAATCAATCCTTCGCTATACTCATGCGTACCTTTTCCTCCAAAGAAAAGACTTCAAGACACAAAAGCTCTAATTTTCCATTCATTTTTCGAGGAATTCTGCACTGGCATGATTAACTTGATAAGAGAAATGAGACAATATTAAAATGAGAAAAACATTGAAATGAGTATGCAAGAGGGATAGTAAAAGAACCTGTGAAGCTAATGTGGCTCTACTCGGTTGGACGAAAAACAGAATAAAAGATCTGGGACAACAAAAGATATGATGAATCTGAGAAAACATGGCACAAATCATTGCTTTGGTAGTGATATCGCTTATGAATCATATTTCGGAGCTTGAAAAGATGAGAGAAAAAATAGAAGATGGATGGAAAACCAGGAAACAACAAATGAATCGAGGAAGAAGAATTGATTTGGCTTTGAGATGCATCAGGTTTAATCGTGATTCGTGGCATGATTTTAAGTTTATGATCATGGTACTTTGTTGTCGAAAAATCAGGGGTTTTAACCGATGAAAGCAACGTGATGTTATCATGGTTTCAACCGAAAAATTAGGGATTTCACAATCGTGGGTAGCAAAACCAAACAAACATGATATTTTTTTAATGGGCTTTTATATGTTTGGACTTTGATATGGGCTTCTCTATTATTTGCTTCCATTTCGTTTTGGTTTAAATTAGATTGATTGTTTTGAAGACAATTAGTATGACGTGGAAATTTTAAATAAGAATTAACGTTTTTTACTTAAACTTGACACATGTCATTCTGCCATTGGGCGAGTGACTTGTGCTTTAGTATATTAGGGATTTAATGAAACAAATGTACGTAACTTTCTCTCATGCATGAGATACCAGAGTTCGGAAGAACACAAATATTAAACGACAAATAATTTATTAAAAATCTAATAATGATTCGATTTCAGCTGTCCTAGCTGCATTAACAACCAGCAAACTTGGAATGTATTAACATTGTCTTACTATATAATACCTTAAACGACAAAATAAACATTAAATTTTTGACAAAATTAGTAGAGTATTGTAGATGTGTATACAATTTTTGAATTGGAATTTTTCACTTTGGTGGCCACCGCTATCTTCACAAACTAATATTTGTAAGAAAAAAGGACCAAAACAAACGAACACATTAAAAAATACACTCACCTATATTATGGTATTCGCATCTTTAAATTATTTCGTTAGTTACGGATTTAGAAAGTTTTCGTATAATCAGTATAAAAAAGTAAAATTTTGTACGTCTTAACAAGAATCAAAACTGAACAAAAACAAAGTAAACTAATGGATATAGAAGCTTGACTTCCTAACATTTGTGCGCAAGTAAAATGACCTAACTGTATACGTTCAGTCGTGTAATTCTTTATACAAGGCGAGTAAATAGTTCACACAAAACGTGTTCACGATTCACGAATCTCTTTAACAACTTCAATTGAGAAAGAGTACCAACAAAGAGTAAAAGACCTGTTAAATACTCATCAACTAACTAGTTAATGAGACTTCTCTAGAAGAGTCCAAAAAGTCTCCTTTTCAATGCCTTGAGGAGTTCACCTTTTTATCAATCGTAACAAAGCAGAAATGATTTCGTCTTGTAGCGACTACGGACGACCGACTTGGAATGAAATTTAGTTTTGGCTTTCACTTGTAAATGACTATCGCATGCCTGTGATAAATTTCAATATACTCAGAAATAGTTACAAAATTCAAATAACAAGAACAAACGTAAAAGAGGATCGTTATTAACGAAAACCAAAAGACCATAGATGATATTTTGTAGCGAGTTACAACGGAAATGGGTGTTTCAAGGAACACGTGCAAATACAATTTAGGCAACGGTAGGTCCTTAATATAATATATTTATCTCTAAAGTCTAAATAAATTGAGACTTTATAATCATTATGAAATGACAGATCGTACGTCCATTTCATATATTCTTTCTCCACGATTTCATACGATTTTCTCTAGCCAATTGCTCTAATTTTCTATACTCTTCTGAACTTTCCCCTCATTGTTTAGCCGATTTTTTTTAAAAGTTTCACCAATATTCCGTAACGAGCTAGACGTCGCCACTATCCACTACCAAGGACACGGTGTCAAATGACACCGTTTAAATTCTATAAAGTGTTCAAATGTACATGAAATCCCATAAAAATCAGTAGCTCTACTGGTAAAATATGCCTTATGAACCCATAAGACCTGGTTCGAATCCTTCTATGACCCCATATAACATATTTTTCATATTTTAAATGATATATTGACCCCAGTTTAGTTAAATCCTGCATTCGCCACTGGACGTCGTTATGAGTTTATGGAACCCTCTGTTATTGTAGAATGAATGATGGTTTATAGATTTTTGTATTTAATTATGTTTATATTTCTTATATAATACACTAAGCATGTCTTTAATTTGCTATTAAGATGTACATGTACGAAAGTTACTAAACAAATCACATATTACTTTTTTGTTTGCTTACATCGTTCAAGGATTGCATAATACTATTTCATCGATGATAGTATACTCTTGAATTTGATCACTTATACAAAAAATTTTTGCAACAATTGTATATCTCTTGAACATGACTTACTATGTCATATACGTCATTGCAAGAGGTGAACTTAAGAAAAGGGATCTTTAACATATAAAACTCCATTTTGACCCTCGTCCGACAAGCACGAGTGCATAGTCATATGACGTCTCACCATTAAGGTTTAACAATTTTTTACGATGTTGACCAAAAAAGATAAACTAATTTGACGATAATAAATCAGATTAAGATTGCTTCCCATGCAAACTTTCTTCATCTTGTAGAAAAAATTTCGATATAAATGAATGCATGTATATATAGAGATATTTAAGCTGTATGCCAAACGAGTATGCCAAACCGTTAAATTTGATTAGGCTAATCAAACTTTCTTCATCTATATGCCAAACGAGTATTAATCCATATTACATGATACCCAGGTTTAAAAAAACAAATTCAGAAATAACCGTCTGTAAATTGGTCCCCACAAAATCTACAACATACGTACGTACTTACTTCGCAGACATTAGTAAACACTGATCTTCTAGATTGATGTCGTCATTCGAATATAAGCAAACACAATAATTCAAATTTTTAGGGTAAATTCTCGTACTCTCTCCTCTTGAGTACTAGGTACGTTAAAACTTAAGATATGATGATTAGTCCGGTTGAGCCATATATATGCATGTGAAATACGAATCTCAGACCCTTTTTTGCAATGTTACATGCACATGTATTCGAACACGGCTTGAAAAAGATCTTACCTCTTTGAATTTCAGTCTCCATCTTTTAATTTCCATGAGGAGGTTGTGAATTTTCTTGTAGTATATCTCATCACTCACCAAGTCTATCATTTTCTTTGCATCACTCTGTACTCTAATGACCTATCTGAAGTTATTTGAATACATCGACATAGGTTTTAAACTTTTAATAGTATACGAGGTTGTATCTAGCACACAATATATTAACGAACTCTTCAACACATAACATTCCTTCTTCGCCATCACTCATCATTCGAATTACACTTTTTATATACAAAACTGCAATCTTTTTCTATATTAAACAAAATGACTAATGTCTTGTCCATGGAGATTTTTAAGGTCGAAGGTCATCGTAGCGATGTGGGCTTTCTTCCTACATTACAGTTGATATGTGGATCCCACGCGGACCCTACTTTTACCCAATAGTTACGTGATATGATCCCACATTCTTTCTCTCTCCCCCTTTTACTATTTATTTCTCCCGACTAATTTACTGATTACCATTAATTAACAACAACAGACCCTCCTTTATTTCAAAATAAAACGATTTTTATTACTTTTTATAGTGGTTTATTTTTAACAACGGATCAACTTTAGTATCAGGTCACTTCAGCAAAAAGAAGAAAAAAAACTTTATATCGTGAACGTTTGTGCATACACCGTAAGGTAGTTTTGCTTTTGTTTGCTACACTTATACGAGGAAGCCACTAAAATAGACTTTTTTTGCGAGAGACTTGGGCTATCTTGCTTGAACGAAGATGACGCTTATGTGCGGGTGGTAATTAGCCAAGCAAGGATCGTTCATTCTACATCAGTTTAATTTCAGGAATATTAACAAACATTTAAAATTATAAATGTAATAATAATTAACCTGTTGGAGGCTAATAAGCTTCATATGTTTATTTGCAAGTGGCGGCACATGCGACGGAATTATGACATAACGAAACACCAAATATCGGGGATAAAAAAACAACTAATACTCCCATTTTTTTATAGGAAAACTTATTAGAAAGAGAAAAGAAAGTGAGAGCAAAAAGACACATGCATTTTCCTCATGCATGTCTTTTTGTGTGTGCCAGTTTCCTCAGAGTATAAACGTATATATATATACCACATTTCTATCTTCTTCTTCATCTTTGCTCTCACTTTTTGGGTTAGTTACAAACTTTTTCTACCATATTCTTCTTCTTCTTCTTCTTTTATCTTTAACAATGAACATATCAGTAAATGGACAGTCTCAAGTACCTCCTGGGTTTAGGTTCCACCCGACCGAGGAAGAGCTCTTGCAGTATTACCTCCGCAAGAAAATCTCCAACATCAAGATCGACCTCGATGTTATTCGCGATGTTGATCTCAACAAGCTCGAGCCTTGGGATATTCAAGGTTCATCATTTATCTTTATTTGCCTTACTTATTTCAAATTTGGATCGACCGTATACTTAATTAGACTTTTTGATTATTGACAAAACGTTTAGCTAGGGCTTGTATATATCACGATCACATATAAACTGGTGTCACGAAAATTCGTAGAAAAAAATATATATATACACTTTTCCACTTTATTCACGGGATTCTAGAGATTTAATACAATATTTAGTTGATTGATTGGTAAAAATAAAATCATAGCAGTAGAATTACTAATCTTTCATCCATTACAATTCATCAATTAGAATCCAACTCTTGTGTTGCTATATATGCAGAGATGTGTAAGATTGGAACAACGCCGCAAAACGATTGGTACTTCTTTAGCCATAAGGACAAGAAGTATCCCACGGGAACAAGAACCAACCGAGCCACAACGGTCGGGTTTTGGAAAGCAACCGGACGTGACAAGATCATATACAGCAATGGTGATAGGATCGGTATGCGAAAGACTCTTGTCTTCTACAAAGGTCGAGCCCCACATGGTCAAAAATCCGACTGGATCATGCACGAATATAGACTCGACGAGAACTTGCTAGCCTCCTCGAGTCATGATGATGATGACGTCACTGTAGAACAGTGTGACGAAGGATGGGTGGTGTGTCGTGTTTTCATGAAGAAGAGTCTTTGCAAAACCATTAGTAGCAGCCCTTCCAGGTCGGTGAAGACGTCGTCGTTCAACGATGAGACCATCGAGCAACTTCTTGAAGTTATGGGGCAAACTTGTAAAGAAGAGATAATTTTAGACCCTTTCTTGAAACTCCCTAGCCTCGAGAGCCCTAACAACACCATCACGAGTTACCAGCGATTGATGGACGACCAGGTCAACAACTGCCACGTCAGTAGAATTGTGGACCCCAGCTTCGTTACTAGCTGGGCCGCTTTGGATCGGCTCGTTGCCTCGCAGCTAAATGGGCCCAACGCATATTCAATTCCAGCTGTCGATGAGATCCCACAATCACCGTTTCATGGATTAAACCGGTCGGGTTGTTACAATACCGGTCTAATGCCGGATTTCTACATACCGGAGATGGAGATATGGAGCGATGACGTCATCGTCCAACCCGTTGTGCCCCGTGTCGAACAGTAGTGGATAGCGGAAATGGAAGAGAGAAAGTGATTACCAAAAAACATTGTGTAAAAAGTTTTACCGAAAAAGAAAGATATTGTGTAGAAAGATATAATAATCATACCATATATATAGTTGTTGAAACAATTAAGAGAAAATTTCAGATTTGTAATAATTACAGTGGTTATGTGAAATCATTACAGAAATCAAAATTTTCTATGTGTGGCGTACATTTTATTTCAGGGTTTTAGTTTTACTTTATAGAATAATGGTTTCGCTATCATTCGATGACCAAAACAAATAACATTTTCGATTGTAAAACAAAAAATCATTGTCTGTGAGTCTGTCACATGATTTATAAGAAAGGTTTTTGTACAAAAGTGAATTGTCATTTTACTCTCTATTTAGTACTTCCACTGGAAATTATACCATTTAGGGAATATTTCTTCTATGAAAATGTATATATTATGTTGGTTAAATGCTTAGTTTGATGTTGAGTAGATTGCTTCTTTCATCATTACACATAGATTAACCCGATTAATCACCCCAACCAACTTGGATTAAGATGCACCAAGTGCCTGATCAGAGCTAATTAACCTATCAAAGTTAATCACCCTCAGTTTATTTCATTTTACCATTATTCTCTCGTTTTGGTTGAATGATCTCTTTCGCGGTGGGCCGGGAATCTTATATTTGAAGAAAAAATGGATGATTCCAGTATTCACTTCCTTCTTTTTCCCATCATGTGTTGATATTAGCAAAGGCTCAACATGCTGTTTGCCTTTCATTTTCTTTCCTTCATATTCCACTTTAGCTTTATGTAATATCAGAGGTAACAATCATATGAAACAAATTAATCAAATGAGAAAATATACATAACTTTGATTTCGAGGGGGGGCAGCAATTTTTCTAATGTATGATCTTTTAGGGGTACAAAATATATCATTTGTGTGGGGCTGTTGGCTGTGAGCTTTGATAGGTGACTTCTGCTTGGTATATATTGTACCACGGATTTGTCGACCCAGGCCCATTTTCATAGATCAATAACGACATGCTAATCGACAAACTATAGGTCCACTCAATGCATTGGTTGATTCGTGTCACAAATTATAAATCGTGTCCTTCTTTGTTCTTTGTCTCTTTGATTTTCCCCTTGCCTTGACAAATATATTTGGTTTTAAGAATTCTACGTAATGTTCGGTCGATGTACGGCTTGGATATTGCCAGTTAAACATTGATCTTGTAATGTTCTCTCACATCGAAATTTTGAATAGAAATTCTAAAAGGCGTATTATCTTTAAATAAATGTATGTTAATTCTTGAAATAATTTAAAAAGTATAAAATAAAGGCTTTCCACTAATGGCGATACACTCGACCGACAATTGTATCCTGGCCAGTTATTACATGCAAATACCTGATGATCGCTGAGTTTGAGGAATCTCTAAAGTTCAAACAACTCTTTCTGAAAATGCATAATAAACTTTTTCTTTATCATCTTGTTACCATATCTTGGAGACTAACTGCGACGGAGATATCGGTCGATATTATATACTGGCTTTTGTGCTAGTATAACAAAGTTATTCATTTTGCTCTTTGTCTCTTTCTTTTGTTTTACATTCTTTTTCGTGCCTAGTGGTTGGTTAGTAAAGGTAGATTTAGCCAAGTCATTTACAAAAAGAACAAAATATTGTAGTATTAGTAAAAATCAGACTTGCTTTTTTTAGTTTAATCTGCAACTCCATTATGGCGTATGGACAAACAGATTTGTTTTAAGGGTCAATCAAATTTAATGCGACGTAGAAACAGCCGTTACAACAGAAAGATAAAGCCAGCATAATTACTTTTTTCTACCAAAAATAGGAACGTTGTTAAATTGAAATCAACTGAGAATCTTTTTTTTTCAAACAAATCGGGTTAATTTATTAGTGACTACCCCTTTCCACGTTTCAAATTTATACGTCTCCTAACGAATATCAAAAGCAAATTGCCAAAAAAAAAGACTTTGTTCGTCATCGCTCGCTACAATCATCTTCACCATCGTGATCATCATCAATCAGATAAACATATAGCACCAGACAAATTATAAAACAACATTTAACATTCATAATTTCACATTTTAAAATTTTATATTTCCAAACACCCACTCCTACTCCAAATCTCGTGGGTTAGGCCGTGTTAGGCTCCACAACGCCACAAGATCAAACCCATTAAGACAAAAGAAAACTAAAGAGAAATAAAAGCTAAAATATAAAAAAACAAAGACAATATCTTTGGACCCCTAGCACTTGCTTGCACCATCATCTTGATCATGCTCATGTATGATGATGATGATCATCATCAAGCTTTAAAACATCCAACAAGATGATTATGGGTATGATTATGATGATGATTACTATGATGATTAACTGATCTCTCTCTATGGATCGTGTCTTGAACATACCGGAAAACCTCCACGCGGCAAGGAATGGTGATAGTACCTTTCTGCTCGAATCCATACTCTTCCTCTGCTTCGTTCAAGAGTTGCATGAACAATGGATGGTTAAAATAAGAAACAGGAACCACAAATCTTTGTTTCTCCTCTTCTTTTGATCCCACTTTGATTGCTAAACAACCTTTTGGAACATCTTTGATCCCTTGTTTGCTACTGTTCTTAGAACGATGTGAATGAAAACTCTTGAAGGCTTTTTCTCCAGAACCCATAACTTAGAGAAAGATGAAGAAAGAAGAAGACTAATTACGAAGGATTTTTTTCCGATAAAATTTGGCTTTGGAAACAGAGGAGAAAAGCCAAGGGACTTCTAGTGGAAGGGGAGAGAGAGTTTAAGAAGCCTAATAAAGTTGTTAATTTTTAATTTTTATTTTTTGTTGTAGAAATAACAAAAAGTTGGATTTAATGGGTGATGCTGAGTGAGATTATTTAATTTATTTTTATTTTTTTTGTAAAGGGAAACCGATATCTATATACAAAAAGTTTCAATTTGTTGTAAAGTTGTGAAGCACCGTTTTGTTTATTAAAAATAAAGTTGTCGTATATCAGGATTGCTAATTTATAGTTTTTTTTGGTTAAATGCAAATTTATAATTTCAGAATTGCAAATTTATAGTTATTGTTACATTTTGGATATGCATCTAATAACAACCACTGGATGCTTTTATATATTAAGGGACAAAATTGACAGTGGTTTATATACACGTCGTGTATCTAGGGAAACAAGTAGAGTCAGACACCACTTGCATTACTTAGACCACTAAATGGGCTGCACTGGGCCTTGGCCTTCGCTGTAAAGTCCAAATCTGAAGCGTTAAAATAATTTGACATTTATGTCATAAATCGCATTAATGACAGCTTGAACAGAAAAACAGGCTTTAACGCATGTTTTCCCAAAATTATTCAAATGTAATAATGAGCCACGATTTAAATAAGAAATCAATGATATTCACAAAATAGAACAAATATTTAAATTTGACATCCAACCCTAGAGGTAGCTAGATAGCCCCAGATGACACTGAAACCGTTGTTAGAGTATAAACGTGGTCAAGGTCTTCGTAAATAAAGCACAAAGTAAACAGAAAACAAAGTCAAAAAGGACAAAATGTAAAAGCCATGGTAATTCGTGTAACCACCAGTGAAAAGATAAACTTTTGGGAAACAAAAAGCAAATTTCTCTTTTTCTACTTTAAAGTCATTCACATATCTGTGTTAATTTCTACTTATCTAACTATTATCTGTTCTGATCCAGCGACTGTCTTAAAAAAAAGACATTCCTTCGTTCCACACTTTATATCCTTTCACTTTGTCATTTTCACTTTTTCACATGGGTTATGAAAACCAAACAGTGATTCATTCTCACTTTCACATTACATAAAAACCGAACGTGGAACAAAACAGTAGATTTTGTCATCACTTAACATGAATGTTGATTCTTTCGTCTGATGGTACTTGGTTCATACAATCATATCTCAATGTATATACATTATTTGACTTCGATTTGTCATCGCACAATGTAACCTAAAAGTTATCAAGACTTGGCTGTAATATAAGTACGTCTACTGTCTGTGAAGTCAATTAACATCAACAAAAATTAGCGAAACTGAAGTTTCCGAAAAGTAGTCGAAGTTATAAAGATCAGCTATATAGCGACGAGTGGAAAAGATTAGTCAATGCAAGTTACATATAGTTATAAGAGATACAGCATCGATTAACAAAAGACAAATACATTTACATATAGTTATAAGAGATTAACATTTACAGCATCGGTTAACAAAAGACTAGTACATTTCCAGTACTGCGACATTAGAAATAAGCAAAATGACAAAAAATTCGATGGAGTTTCTTGAGCTTCCATACTTGAAATAACTGCAGTGCATAAACAATTAGAGTGTGAATAGAAAAATAACTATCACCCAAAGAGAAAGGAACGAATTATGTGTGAATATATATAACTAGTGAATGCATTAAAGTGATTATGATTGGAATGACGAAACCCTAGGCTAGTAGTTATGTACTACTAATAACAAGAGGCATAAATGGTACTCGTAATTTGAAAGATTCAGATCTAGCTTCAGATCTAGGAGAAACAGACGGATCTGAAACTGAAACACCCTCATCAGTAAACATGACCATGAAATAGATCTATCTACTCTCTAAATGCTAACTCGTCCTGACATCATCATAAACAAAACAAATCATTGCAAAATCATAGCTAGGAAAACAAAAAAAAAAAAAGAGAAAAAGTTGGTAATGATGATGAACTTTTCTGTTTCCCACATGAGTCAGATTCCTTCATCATTACACCAATCTGTAAGATAAAAAAAAAACTCAACCCCACTTGAAACTCATCAAAATAACTCAAAGAACCGTAAAAATAAAAAGTAATTCAATTAACGGTTTGAATCATTGAATAGATCTAGAGACTGAAACCCTAGATCAGAAGGAAGGATCTTCACGGTTAATTAGGATCGAGAGGGAGTAAGAATTGGGGGGAATGAAGCCTGGTCCGACGACGCTCAAAACCCTAATCAATCATCAGATCAGACAGACCTTATCAACAGAGATTGAATTAGAATAAGAGTCCTCGAGCCAGACAACAGTCCCCGCAACAAAGATATCCCTCTTTAAATCCTCTTCTTCTTCGTAAACAGACCTTTCTCAGTTAGGGTTTTTTCTGTTTCTCGCAGTGTTCGTCCCCCATCAGATCCGGCTGATATCAAGAGAGAGAGAGAGAGAGAGAGAGAGAGAGAGAGAGAGATGAATGTGGTGGTGATGATGAAGCGAATGATGAGAGAAGAATAGGTTTTTATGAAGGAGAAGAGGGTAAGTAGTGGAGAGAGAGCCCAAAGCTATACAAGACAAAATAAACATGGGTTCTGTGTGCCTTGGGCCCACATATATTTACTTGTGATGTCTATATATTTCTTTTAACTTTTTTGGTCAACAGCGTTAAAATATTTCAAGTTTCAAGATTTTTTCATTCAACTTTTTAACATTTGGGATTTACTTTTTGAGACATGTCAATGGATTTCTCATTTTACCATGGTAGTTTACTTGTTTAAGCAAAATAGAAAGAACAAAAATCATATTCCACTCCATACCTCCCCATTTTCGTTGAATTTTATTTCAGACCCGTTTTTTTCTCTTACATAAAGCTTTGTTGACGAATTGACCAGGTAAAAAAAAAATTGGTATGATAGTAAGTGACCGTAAAATGAAAACAAAAGAAGGGGTGAAAGTAAAGAGACGATCAAATCATAAAAATAGATGTGGAAAAAGAAATTGAGAAAGGAGGGGTTTCTATAAAAGTTAGTCAGAGGAGTGGTTGAGTTATTGATCTGCCCAATACTACCATTCTCCATTTATTGTCTCCCAGCTTTTCCCCATTTTTGCTCTTTCTAATTGTTAATTATATTTTGCATCACTTCTTTTTAATCGTTCTGTGGAATATACTTAAGAAAATCTTAGAAGCTGCAAAAAAAGTGAAAAAAAAAATCAATCTTTTAAGTAGAGGATTACAATATTGAAAGTTTGAAACGATAGATGGTGAGCAGTAAGACTGCCAGTTAGTATTGCATAAGTAAATTACAAGTGTCAGTAAATCTCCTTCAAATTTCAAACTATCTTCCCTGTTATTCTTAAAACGGGGAACAAGAAAAAAGGTACTTTTCGAAGAATTCCCCTTTGCGAAAACAAAAAGTCTCTACTTTTGTAACCAATATCGGTTTATATTTTGTATAAATATATAGCATAAAAATTGATATAATAATACGATCCTCCATCCAGCTGGAATATCAGAGATGTGTAAAGAGATTTTTACATTATAGAGAGATTTCAAATTACATGAGCGATTATAGCATATGGAAACGTCTATTTGGACAGTTGTGGGTGCATTTGTTTATTTTTCCGTTTTAAAGGTCTTATTGTATTTTTATTTTTTGCTAAAGGGTTTACGATTATTGTATTTATATTGGAGTACTGTTTTGTTGTTTTTAAAAAATCAAAACTAAATAGCAAGAGAGTGCCCGCGACATGTGCTGCAACATTTTGTTAGTTTCCTAATGTCAAAGATGCCTCATGAAATGTCCTCGTATATATTTAAATGGATGAAAAATATACATAAATATGTATTTCAGCCATAAGTAGATACTTCTCTAGCTAAATTTTGAAATTTCTTGTGGTAGGTACTTCTCTCGCTAAATTCGACCTAATCTATAGATACAAGTTTTATATCTACACGTAGATACAAATTTATTAATTGCAACGCGAGTATCAACTGATTCTTTTTTTTTTTTATCAATTGAAGATTTGTAAGTAACTGACCCATAAATCCAGGTAAATCTATATGATTTGGTTTTTTATCTTGTTCAAGTTGTCCATGTAGATTCGAGATTAATTAGCGTACTTACCATCAAGATAAACACAAACTATGAAATGCATGCGTATGCTAGTGTAAGCGTGGGGAAATACGTAGACTGTGCATGAGAATGACAAGTGGAGAAGACGATTCTTAGCTCCAAATTTCAACGTCGTTGACAGTCTTCGAGAGTTGTGTTGTGTCTTGAAGAGAGAAACGAGTTGAGAGAAAGAGAGAAACAAAGAGGAAGACGTCAAATCCCCACGTTGTCCCACTCTTACATTCCTTTTTATTTCTCTTAAGTGAATAATATCATTCGTTTCTTATGATTAAGGACATAAACTAATAACATTTCAAACTCAATTATAAATGTTCAGGATTAGTCCAACTCTTTGACTTAAACGCGAATAGTGACACGTTCACCTACTACAGAATAACTTTTTTCCTTAAGAACCAAGCTTCAATTATTTGAAAACTGTGATAATTTATAGCCTAAACAGAAATATATAGGGGAGGGGTAGCATCGTAATTAGGGAAAAAGAAAGAGTCAGTCAGTACAAATTAGCATTTAATGCCTCTTTGTTCGTATTCTCTGCCACCTTCTCTTCACATTAATTCCTCCTTCTGCTCCTCAGATTCCAACTCTTTAAATAATGTAACTTTATTTCATTTTTGTGTGATACATAATTATTTTGTTTTTTAATACTCCTCTGTTTCAGAAAGAATGTGTAGGATGTTTTAGATATTTTATACAAATTAAGAAATATTTATTGTTAAATAATTAATGCATTTTCTCTCTCACATAAACCACTTTTAATAAGTATTAACTAATAAAAATTCAAGAACTGAATTACTTTTAATAAATAGTTCTTGAAGTTTGCAATTTATTATCATTAATTGAAAAAAGTATCTTAAACAAATCTAAAATATTTTATATTCTGAAACAAGAAAAAAAACTAAAACATTCTACATTCTGAAATGGATGGAGTATGTTAGTAGGAGAAGGTCACCAGTAAAAGCCTTGGAAATTTTCATATCAAACAATAAATTAACTTTCAGAAACATTCAAAGGTCTATTGATTAGACGCTTGTCATAATAACTTTTTACTGTATTTTTACCACGTTCGCTAAAAATCTCCATCACTCTTTTCATATTTTACTTGTCTCCTTTTTAAACGTACTGTATAAAGATATCTACAATGATATCTACAGAACAGTTACAACCTTAAAATGAAATAAATTGCCTACCAAAAAATTAAGTCCATTATTGCTATTAATGAGAACGAGTATAATTGATCCAGTGTTTCTAAAGATTAGCTCAAACGAGCTATATGGGCTTTTAATTTTAGTTTTATTACTATTTGGGCTAATTCTACTATGGGCCGAATCCAAGAAACAAACAAACTCAATTTAAGAGATGCACAATCATATCTTCATTTACAAAGAACTTGCAAACACGATGCATCGAACTGATGTAATCGACGTGTAATAGATTATCAATTGAGGATTGTTAATAGTTGCACTCTATGAGTAAAATTCGAGCCACTTTATTTTCTATATTTGGTTTAACGAGAGGAAGTAGTTAAATTAGCAACAGAAGATTGTTGGCCATTAAGGTTATATAGAGAAAACAAATGAGAGAGGATTGTTGGCCGTTAAGAGTTTCACGTGATAGAGAATTAACACTAAAATACACTCCATCAGTCCATTGATAATAGCATATATACACTAATGATTAATTAATCAAAGTTGTTTGTAATTTGTTTGTAAAGATTATAATCATGGGCTCGAATATAATTTGTTTTTAGGACGGTGGTGAAATAAATGAAATGTCTCTTCCTCATTGGATTGGCATCTTATCATGGACCCTCCTTCCCTTTAATAGGCTGGATCTTATTGATTTGAATATGCATATCGGTAATTTTTAATTCGATCGTTTTCTTTTTCTGCCACAATATCGAGATCGTTCAATCTTTTTTAGTATCATTTCCGAATTACAGTTTAGGTTAATTTAGTCAGTGACAGTCTATTATAAACCAACAACAAAAGTATTATATGTATATGCTTTTTTACTTGTTATTTTTGGTAAACATGTAATATGCAAAATTCTACAGTACTGCTACACTATCACAAGCGATTTGCCTTGCCTCTCAAATTCTACAGTACTGCTACACTATCACAAGCGATTTCAAAGCTTTACACGCGGCAAGGCAAAGAGATTGAAGAATATGCAAAATACAAACAAGAAATGACAAATTGGCTTTTTGAAAATAAATAAACAAATTTAGCTTTTTAGATAAGGTTTATGTTCGTGTAAAATTATCCAAGTTAAATGGACCAAAACCATGTCAAATAACCTTATTGTAAAATATATATTTCGTATATGCACTAGATACCATAACAAATGATAAGATTGCAAAATCATATGGAGTAATATATTAATTTTGACTATTTTGAACAAATATCATGTAAATGCTTTTTGATTTCGATTATTTGATCAACTATATGAATGAACCTTTTTTTTTTAACATATCCAAATTTGACTTATTAAGGTTTGTACGAACCAAATCCAATTAATTTGGAAACCAAAACTGAAAACTGGACTAGATTTCTTCTTCTAACAAATGAAAGAAGTAAAGAATCATCTTCTCTTACGCCTCTTATCAAGAACGGCTATATTTAAGGGAGCCTCGACACGTGCTAACATTTGTCGGACGCAATATTCAGTAACAACCACAAAATGAATTGCCACGTCACCTTCATGTCAACTTGGCTTTCTGAATGGTTCCAAATGGCACAGAACCAGTGGTTGATTTTGACAACTTTGATTGCTACTTGCATGAATTCCACAGATCTAATTTATGACACTGTATACCAAAAGATTCGTCCTTTCCTTGAGAATTTTTATTTTTTTCGTTAAAGAGAAAAATCATCCTCTTTAGTAGTAATAAAATTCTACCATGAAATCTTTGTTTGTAGGATTAAATCGCATCAATAGATGATTTCTGATATCTCGTAATTGATACTTAAGTGACGTTGAGACGATAAAGCCGCCATAAGAGTTTACAAATGGCTGAATTCAATTTGTCGTTTGTTTAAGTCCAAAGAGAGCTCCGAGAAGCAAGGTAAACGTAACCTTAAACTAATCATTAAAACATTCAAAAGTTGCTTTTATCATAAATTGGTTGTTTTATTTCAAATTGACAAAATTCCAATGGTGAAAGAGCTTATGATTTGTATGAAGGAAGAAACATAATTTAGTTTTTATGAAGAGGTGAAAAAGGAGGCTAAAAATAAGAAAGTAGATTCTGTTAGGGAGTCCAATTAAATGATCGATAGTAGAAAATATTTTGATATAGTTTTTTTCCCGGATAGAGGCTTAAAAAAATTTAATCTAGTTTGATCATACTTTTTGTAGAAGAAAACCTGAAAAAGACCATGTCACATAGAAATCAAAGTTGGGGCAGCAAACAACAGAAATCAACTGGATTTTAAAGTCACTTTACTTGTTTTACGAAATTAATGAAATTGACAAAAAAAATTCAATAAATCTCATAATTGAGTTTGCTTGTTAAATATTTGCATGGGAGTCAATAAAGCTAAAATCCTTTATCTCGTGATCATCTTTTTGCTTTCCGTGTAATGGAAGTAAGTGCGTAAACTATTAAGAAAAACCCATAAAGCTTGATGAGATGGTTTTGATAATAAATCTTATATATAGCTTTAATCTAATCACTTTCTAACAATTATTTACTCCAATATAACTTACCGCGCATACAGTCACAAATCTAACCACGATTAATCTTTTGGGATTGGCGAGATAATGAAGATTATATTTAATTTATAACATTTGACAATGTAATGAAAACTCAGGTTAAAACGTGTTTCACGTAATTGACTCTAGAGGATGGCGTGCGAGTGACGACAAAAATGAAAATGATCTAATCTTATGACTTGTGATGTATTATTGTAACACCCGTCGAGCATCCTGATATGTGAACGTGAAAGCTCGTTCACACTGTTTTTTTTTTTTCTTTCTTCTTTTTAAATTGATGATCTGTCGTCACATGTCAAATGATGATATATGTTGTTGTTCGAGCTAAACAAAAAACATAGTACAATTGTAACAGAAGTGGCTGAAAATCGAACCTTAATAATAAATCGTTTCGTTTCTTTAACTAATTTTCTGTTCTAAAGAAAATTTAGTATATTAGATTTTGTAGTATACAGTATAGCACAAGTGATCATATCCTATAAGATCAAACTTTCTTAGAAACGTTATAATATGTATCATTCACTTTCCGAAAAACAGAGAGTACTAATATTGAAAACTAAAAGTGAAATAGTTGGAAATTATTATCAGTAGTTAGATGATTCGTTCACATCGAAATGAAATACGACTTAAACTGAAAGAGACTTGAGCCAATTCGTGTCGAGACACAAATTTTCGACATATTTTAGCCTATATATATAGTTCCATAATATTTGCAGTTAAATATTAAATTTCTAGAAACGAAAAAAAAAAATTGAATCTCAGGCCCTACACCACTATCACACACAGTAACTCTCACACATATATAAAGAGGCCAATATCACTACACAGATAATCCAGGAAAAAAATAAACAAAAAAAAGTCCAAAATCGTCTCTCCTTATCGCAATCAAGAAGCTTCCAAGATCTGGTGAAAACCATGGAAGAAGGAGACTTTTTCAATTGCTGCTTCAGCGAGATCAGCAGTGGCATGACCATGAACAAGAAGAAGATGAAGACGAAGAGCAATAACCAGAAGAGGTTTAGTGAAGAACAGATCAGATCACTTGAGGTTATATTCCAGTCCGAGACTAGGCTCGAGCCAAGGAAGAAGGTGCAGATAGCTCGAGAGCTAGGGCTGCAACCTAGACAAGTGGCTATATGGTTTCAGAACAAGAGGGCCCGTTGGAAGTGTAAGCAGCTTGAGAATGAATATAACATTCTTAGAGACAATTACACTAATTTGGCTTCACAATTCGAAATCATGAAGAAAGAAAAGCAAGCTCTAGTCTCTGAGGTATATAATTCTCATCATTTATATCTTTTATCTTTAAATCGTGACAGAAACAAAAATTGATCAAAATGATCTAACTTAAAAATGATATGTTATTTTTCGTTAGAGTGAAAAGGAATTTCAAATCTGGTTAGTTTGTATATGTACTTTATTTTAGATATAACTTCATTTGGTCTTTAATTAATTAATCTCTATTTGCAGTTGCAGCGATTAAAAGAAGAGATGCGAAAGTCAACAGAAGAAAAGCATCACGAGTGTTCCGGTGATCAAGGAGTGGCTCTAAGCAGCAGCACAGAGTCGGATAAAGGAAAGTGTGAGCCAGAAGTGAGGCTAAACCAAGGGATAGTTCTGTGTAACGATGGTGTTAGCAACAACATTAAGATAGAGTACCTTGGATTTGAGGAAGAGACTAATCATGAGATAATGAACATTGTGGAGCAACAAGCTGATGATAGTTGCTTGACTTCATCTGATACTTGGGGTGGTTTCAATTCTGAGTCTTTCTTAGACCAATCTAGCAGCAATTACCCTTGGTGGGATTTTTGGTCATAAAAAACATATGTAAAAACAAAACAGAAGAGAAAGAGAAAGAGAAAGAGTGTGTATAGTTGTGTGTATAGTTTTGTAGATTATGCTTGTTATTAAGAAAAATAAATCTTGTTTCGATCTAATGATCCATGTAATTACTATGTTTGTTAAATACTCAATTTAGCGAATTACTAGTAAAGAAAATATTGGTCATCAAAGCAAAACCATTAGGATCAATCAGACTAAACACATTAACCTCACATGGAGAGAGACACCAACAAACACATTTACTAGTAGATAATATGCCCATCGATGGATTTTTCTCATTGACAAAGTTAGTGAGTCTCACATCGATGGATTATCTCAGTGACTGTCTTGAGCGTACACCACCGACAGTCAGGTACGAGGAAAAAACGATCAGACGAAGCCTCCACCGACCCATGGCGGTGAGTTGGCAACGGTGATCGGAGCTTCCCTGCTTTCTCGGTTTCCATTGGGCCTTTTAGGCCCATTATAAAGGAAAAAGCCTGTAATAAAAAGATGTATTGAAAAAGCCTGTAAGTACAGGGCTTTTATGAGGCCCATTCAATTTATTCACTTACATTTTCTTCTTCATTTCGAATCAATTCGAAATCTTGGATCACTATTCAGTCTTACAACAATATTGGACGAATAGGTGAATAAAAATATGAAAACCACCGCTGTTAAAATATAAATTTTGACGATTTTGACGATTTTGACGTGACAGACCTTTACTCTCAATAGAAATAAACCATTATTGAATGAGAATATATTTGTGTTTTGTAAAATATCGGTGGAGTGGAATAAGAAAGTTTTTAACCTACTCTGATAAATCCAAAAGGACGAATATCACATTTTTATTCTGGTTGATACAGATGTACAGTAGAACCTCTATAAAACAATACTCGATAAAACAATAAACACTATAAGATAATAATTTTCTCCGGTCCCAACTCGGGCCAATGTAAAAAATAGCATAATGCGATAAGATGATAAGACAATAATATTTTTGAAACTCCTATGTAAAAATATAGTCCCAACAATAACCTAAGATAATAATTATAAAACTAAGGCATATATATCTAAGACAATTTAGTAAAATATGACTCCAATGTAGTTTGTCTTTTCTGAAAGTTGGATTCCCGTTGGAGCTCATCTCGAATTTTTCTTATTGATCTACAATTTCTGTGATGTATTCTCAACTTGCAGCCAAAAGTTGTGAAGAGTTCTCGAAGCCACAATTGCTTAACTACTTGCACATGTCTTTCCTCATCATCTTCAACTTCATCTTCACCATTAAGAACATTAGACATAATTTCTTCTAGATTTTGAACTTCTGAGCATGAAATATGTAAATAACAAAGTATAAGGAAAATTTGAATAAAAAAGTGAAAAAATATATTCTATAAAGTTTCTTGTTTTTGATAGAATATTTCTATAAAATAATAATTATTGTTTTATCGATAAAATAATAATTATTGTTTTATCGATAAAATAATAACTCTATAAGATAATAAAATTTCAAAGTCCCAACATTATTGTTTTATAGAGGTTTTACTGTAGATTGATTGGTTGTTTCTCTACTTTGATAAACTCCAAAGTTCAATATTCTATATGTTATATTATTTTATGCTTTTTCTAGTGAGAAAGACTGTCGAAAGTTTCAGATTCAACTACAAGATTCGACATTTTGTTCATTTTAATTGATATTCAAACCCGAATATATATAATTCGGTAATATATATTATGATCAACCTTAAGTATAATATTTTTAGTTTAGCATCTAGACATATGTCATCAGGGGTGGTCTTGTCTAAGCTATTGAAATATATGAAGTGAGTGACATATATAGATTCCGATGGTCTGTAAAACTATGTGAAAAAAATACGAATATTAATGCATATTTGTATATGAATCATATTCATATGTATGTGTGACTTTGATTTTGACCAAGATCTGTTTTTATAAAGCAGCTCGATTTGTAGGACTGACTATTTAGCAACACTTATAGTTGCTTTGAGAATTCAAGGAGAGACATAAAGACTTGTGTTCAAGTTGTGCCTATTGCACTATGCTATGACTATATAAACACCTTTGTCAAGAATTCAGAATCAAAATTTCATATCTACACATAGAGACCGAATCCGAACTTAGAAAGCATCTTAATTCTTCTTCTATTTTTGTATACTAGTTACAATTAATATATCTTTATTACCGTCCGTACGTACTTAAGAAATCATGAACCTAAACGTAATAACAGCATTATCCACATTACACAGTGACTCGACTTTGGAAAACATCGGAATTTATCTATCGATAGTAGAATCGTTAAGAATGGCCAAAAAACAAAAAAAACTTTTTAATGGCCTTGGGACGTTAAAGTGTTAGGAGGACATAAGAGTGGAAAAGAGATGTAGATACTTTCTTTTCTCTTTAGTTTACTAACTTAAATCCACAGTTATTAAAAATCATATATTCGCATTCGCATTTACAAAAATCTAATAGCAGACTCTAACAAATCTTACCTACTCTTTCTACATATATATCTCACTATTATAAATCTCGAGTTGCAATGGACAAGTCAACTTCATCCGATTACCTCAAGATGCTGGCCTATATTTATCTTATGGTATACACTAAACAGTGTAAAGGTCAACAACAGTCAACGATTTGAAATAGGTGTGATTGGCAAATTAAAACCAAAATCAAAAGATTATTCGATATATCTAACATTAATATTCCTAAGTAGTTTGAGCAAATTAATTGGCATTAATCTATGCAAAAGATCAGCCAACTTACTAAAGTACAAGGATGTTGTATACCTAGCTACGACGGTCCACTAAGGTACCATATGAAATATAAAATCATATAATCATATGATTATGTAATCATATCACCAACGGATTAAGGAGTCCGTGCAAATTGATGATGATGTAGTCGCCTTTTGTAAACGTGGATCGTTTTATACAAATCTGTTAGTTATATAGCTCATAGCTCACCATCATACCCCGATTGATATAATTTTTTGCTTCTTCTGCTGGTGAAGAGTTTTTTCGGATTTTTTTGGTGGCGTGAGCCGTACACTAGTAATAGCTATGATTAAAGACTACTGATTTCAAGAAGTTTGCACAAAGCTGGGGTTTTCCATTTAGAATTACAACATAACAATTAATTATTCAACCAAAGTGAAATCATTTAAGCTAAAATATGATGAATATATATTATGGCACACTTAGAACAAAAAAAAAATATATATATATATATATATTATGGCACACTTGCAAATTATTAGATCCATGGTGCATAATGAAAAAAAATTTAGACAGAAAAACATTTGACAACAGTTTAAATTAATTTGCCCCTTCTATAAGGGCAATGAACACACATTTATCATGTAACGTTAAGTTAAATAAATTCGGACTTGTCCTCCTAATAAAGTGACTTATCATACTCATCAAATGACATATTTCAGACAAATTAATTGCCAGGAGTCAAAAAAAAGGACAAAGTAATGGTCCTAGTTGCCAAATGTTTTCTCGATATTTAGATAATGACCAAAAACGTTCATTTTTAATTTTGTTTTGATCCATATCCTTCCACATCTGTTAATGGTAATTAATTATCTGGAATTACAAAAATTGGCTATTGGGAATGATCTAGTAACACGCTCCCAGTATTTTCGTATGAATAAATGTCACTGGTTGGGAAGTTGCAATCTGCGTCTTTATTTGTTGATGCAATTCATATTTTTCTAGTCGTCGGTCCTCACCTTACTAGTACATATTAATTTCTTCTTGTCTACTTTTTATTTAATCTGTCTTACGTACTAAAGCTTTGGATATTGATGATGCAACTTGCTCTTCAGATACGAGTATCGGTTTTTTTTTACTATATCGAAAAATCTAGAGCACGGTGATAGTCAAAAGTTACATCATCTTAACTAGCTATATCCATCTTGTTTGAATTTTTTTTTACTATACAAGTTCTAGCTGAAAGTTTAGCGTAATTCGGATAGCATTATTTTTATAATCAACAATTATTCCATGTCGAAGACAGAGTAGATAGATATCTATTATGTTGCGAGAGTCAATTAGTTCAATAGTTATGATTTATTCTTCAACAAAACACGTATTTCCGACAAAAACACAAACTTCACACTTTGATCCTATTTTTTACGAGACATCATCACAGAAGTAGATGGACATAAGCTTTACTAGCTGTAAATTAAATCAACGGTTAGGCATCTCTCAATCTATGCCACAGACAATACTGACCGTTGATAATGATATTAGGCGTTGACAAGCACTTAACAGTTAACAGCGCGCCAATGGTGGGGGGGCCAGATGGCTACGAGCCATGTGAGTTGTCTTATTAATGAAAAGACAACTAAACCCTTTCTCAATTTGCCCTACGTCAAATTTCCTTTTGTATATATCATGGTTAATTTGTAATTTAACCCACCATCCTGCAGATCATCGATCGAGTCTCGACGATCAGGCTGTAGGGACGTTTTGCGTGAGCCTGATACGTGGCGGAAAACTGACCAAAGATTCGTGATTATCGAGATTGAAAAGAAATCCAACGGCTGAATATTAGAAGGTGTAGTTGTATTCACTGCACCACGCCACACAATGTCACAATTGACAAAGAATATCCCACATAACTTATTTCTGACATAAAAGAATGTCTTCACACGCACACAAAGTCATTTGTGTCTTAAGCCTTTACCTAAAGGTCATTTAATTAACTCACATTTTGCTTAAGTTATTATATAGATGCAAAAAATAGTTGACTGATTTTTACTTACAAGTTTAAGCTATGGATTTATATAACCTAAGAACGTTCATTCACTAAACTATTTAATTTGGAATCTTTCACTGGATATACGAATATACTATAATTTAATCGCTTTTTGTACTTGATTAAATGTCGCTTTCTATTCGTTCTTGAATTATAAAGACGAGACTCATGTTATTTATTCCAATTTTAGCATAATTACCGGA